CTTTAAAAAAGTAAGGCACTACATAAAAACAAGGAGGGAAAAACCAATATATCTAAAAGAGGAGTTGAAACAGATAAAATGAATTGCTATTAAAGCCTAAAATAGAACAGGCTTTTTCTGGTGTCTTCAAGAGAGTAAGGAAGGCGCCAAGTTAGTATATCTGGGGAGGGAGCTGTGTAATGAAGGAGCCACCACTGAAGAGGCCTTTTGAGCTGTGGCCTGATTTATTAAGGTGTGGCACCCAGTGAAGGATGTCAGCATACAATCTCAGTTGAGAGCTAGGTTCAGATGGGAGCAGGCAGCCCTCCTGATGCCCAGAAATAGGGGGGGGGGGGCAATTTATGGCAAACCTGCAACCCTCCAATGTTGTTAGACTCCAACTCCCATCAGCCACAGTCAGCATAGCTGGTGGTCAAGGATGATGGGAATTAGAGTCTGACAACATTGGGAGGGCCCCAGATTCCATCCCTAGACGCAAGGCTCATGGGAGCTGGGAGCCCCATCCGGAAAGGAAGCTCCCTGCATTGTCTCTGCATGAGTAGCTGCTCTGGCTTTTATTAAGACTGATGAAAACGGGGATGATGGGGCACCTGTGGCCCTTCCAACTTTTGTTAGGGCTGCAGCTCCCACCAGCCAGCATGGCCAATGGTCAGGGATGTGGGAGTCCAACTACATCTGAAGCGATACATATTCTTCATCCCTAGTTTATGGACTTATCAATCAAAACCAGCGCTATGAATTGAGCCTGGGTCCTACTGTGTGTTCTGTGCACGTCACTCCTTAGCAGGTCTCTCTCCCCTGAATCCGTGTTGTTGCCCCGATTCTTTCTGCAGGCTCCATTCCCCTGATGATTTCTCTGCCCTCGTTCTGGGGTTCCCAGCTCCTCCCAGACTAGCATAATTTGTAAATTTCATTAAGTTGGCTGTTTACTCCCTTTTCCCAGATTACTAATCAAGACATTAAATAAATTCAGACCAAGCCGGTCTCTTTCCCGGCAGGACTCATTGCACGCACACACACACACCCAAAAAAACCTTAGCGGCAGTCATTTGTCATTCTCCTTTGTTTATGATCCTTCAGCCTGTTTGTGCCCCAGAAGCTGTTACTTGCACCCCAGCCAGTTTGAGAACATATGAGAGACGCTATCAAAATGCCTTTACTTAGGAGACGGATTCATTGCCTCCCTCCTTCCACTCAGTTTATAACTATGTTTTTCTAAAATGTAATCCAGCTTGTCCAGAGAGAGGTTGCACTCTTCTAGAATCCCAAAGCTGTTCTCAGCATTCCTTTGATCTTCTAGGTGTTGAATATCTTTTCCGTAGAGATATGCCGCATTAATGAACACCTTGCCACCCCCCAAAACAATTCTTAGAAAAATTGTGGGGGCCGGTAGAGGGGGCCTTGAAGCTCCCCCTCCCCAGATTTTCAAACCATCAACACGTCTGCTCTCTTCAGACAGTGCCAGATTTGATAGAGAAAGACATTTACAGATGTCTTTCATCCTGAAAGGCAAACTATCTAGCTATCTGTTAGTACTGGATAAACTAGCAAGAGCTTTCATTCAGATAAAAAAAGGACCATAGCATCAAACACTAATGTTGCTCCACTGAAAATGTCAATTTAAAGAAAAGAAAATCTTTGCCTTGTACAACAGCAACGGTCCTTGAACTATTTTAAGCCATTTTGGTGTGGTGTGTTACCAATAATATTTGGAACACTTCAACCCTTCTTTTCTCGAAATTGGTTCAAAGCAGTCAAAGACTCCACCTTTCCAAATGTGATAGAGAAGAGTGTATTAGAAGTGGCCTTTCTTTTCATAGTGCCAGTGTCCACTGACTACATTTCAGTTATCTCATGAGTAAAAGAAACAGTTTCCTTCTTTCAGGATCTCCCCCTGCCCTAAAAAAGGACACCTTCATCAGTGTTATTTTCAATATGTAAATGTATTTAAATTCAACCGATTCAAAGCCAAACAGTTAATTAAAACATTGACATTCCTATGGAATGATATCCTGATTTCCTCCTGCTCTAGTGAATTTCCCCCCTTTTGTCGCGCTGTATCTGTTTGATCAGCCAAGCCATTATGTTTAGGCGTGTGTAAGCTCTTGTCCTTGTCTCCCTGGTTCAAAGCCGACTGAGAAGTCTAGCTAAGCAAACGTAACTGGCAGCTGTGGAAGAGCCCTTTTTGGCAGGTATGCCTTGTTCCCAATATGTGGGAAAGCATCAAAGAGGCCACCAGCTTTTGCTGGTTCAGTCCCCACCATCTCCAGCTAGGGTTGGAAAAGGCACCTGCTTGAAACTCTGGAGGGTCATAGAATCAAGAGAGTTGGAAGGGACCCTGAGGATATGGGATAATATGCAGCTGTCCCTTACGGGGATCGAACCTGCAACCTTGGCATTACAGACAGCACTGAGGTAGATGGACCAGCGGTCTGTCTCAGAATAAGGCAGCTTCCCCATTTCTCTCTGTTAAGGTATATATATATGTCTCATTTTGGCAGATTTGGTACCAAGGACTTCTGCGATGCTCAGTGTGACTTTCTTCATAAAGTGCATTTCCACTGTGTGGTGGAAGAATGTGGAGCCCTCTTCAGCACCTTGGATGGAGCCATCAAGCACGCCAAGTAAGGGGATGAGCCAAGACACAATGAATTCCAATGCAAACACACACAATACTTGCAATTGCTCTCGATTAAAAGGCTGGAGGGGCAACCCCTGGGGTTACAGGAGCTGTGTGTGGCCTTGGCAGGATTCCTGCAATCCCACCTGCCCTGATTTGAGATTTCATGGGTGGAAGTAATTGTGCTGGCCTTCCTTTTGCTATCTGGAACTTTGTTTTGGTTGGGAACATGGCACACTTCCTCCCTTTGCCTGGTGAGTGCAGCACAGTGGCTAAGAGTCCTGAGCTGTTCATCAGTTTGAATCTCGCCTCTGACACAGTAATCATAACTGTGGTTAAGCTCAGTTAGTTTGAAGCAGGCGACAGTGTCAGTTTGGAACAAACAACAAATTGCAGTTAATCTAAACCAGAAGGTGGAAACGCCTGAATTCCTCCTTGCCAACTGCGCTTGAGGAGATGAGGGGGCTAAGTGAGTGAACTCAAGGTTCATCTAGGGGAACCTTTGACTTTCTAGATGCTGCTGCACTCCAACGCCCATCAGCCCATCCAATGATCATGGATGATGGTTGCTGGAATCCAGCAACATCTGGAGAACTGAAGATTCTCCCATGCCTATTCTAAACTATGCTTTAGAACGGCTTCTGAAGACAGCTGCCGTGTTTTGTCTTTGGGTTTCACATGGCTCAGGATTTTGGGACATAAATAAAGAGGGTGATTTAAGATACCTTGGAGGCCAGGAATCACCAGCACCACCTCCAGAAAGAAATAAAAGAGTTATCTATTACTAAAAATAATTTAAAAAGCAGGCATAACTTGGGTGTTTTTGGTTTTTTTAAAAAGGGGGCTGATAATAAAGGAGGAAGGATGGAAGAGTGAAAAGGTTGCTTACCTTTGTCCAAATGGAAACAAAGAACTTTGGGCTGTGTTGAACTAAGTTGCACTCAGAGGAGACCCATTGAAATTAATGAAATGAAGTTACGTTCCTTAACATCACTGGGTCTACTCTGAGTAGGACTGGGCTTGCATACAACCCTTTTTATCTACTCAGTGGTAATGACTTCCACTCTTTGGAAACATGGGTGTGGTGCACTAATCAGAATGGGAGGTGAGGTGTGGGCTGCAAAGCAATTTTCATGTATAAAGTGTATGAGCCTAATGTTAACTGCTTTCTCCCCTCTTGCCATAGTTTCCACTTCCGAACAGATGGCGGAGCTGTGAAAGGAAGCTCTGAATTCTCTTTCCCAACCGTTGCTGAGACCAAGACTTCCTTAGCCCCTTCGTCACCCTCAGCTTCTTCTTCCGCTGCCCTGGCCAACACCTCTGCCCCGGATGTGCCCGCCCCGAGCTCGGTGACTGTGCCCTCCACTCCCACCCTCCTGGCCTGGAAACAACTGGCTTCCACCATCTCTCAGATCCCCACATCAGTGCCTAACCTGGCCACGTCCCCCTTGACGACGACTTCCCTCGAGAACGCCAAGCCTCAGGTCAAACCTGGCTTCCTCCAGTTCCAGGAGAAGTGAGTGACTTCACTTAAAGGGGAGAATGGAGGGCTGGGGGAGGCAGACCATTTTCCCCAAGAGCGATTTTCTCCCAAAGATCATATCCTTGCTGCTCCCCTTCCACAACCACAGTGTAATCCCAGCTCTGCTCCCTCTCGTTTAAAGCCAGGATACTTCTGGGTCTCTGCAGGTAGCAATGACACTACAGTGGTACCTTGGGTTACAAACACCTCAAGTTACAAACACTTTGGGTTATAGACTCCGCTAACCCAGAAATAGTACCTCGGGTTAAGAACTTTGCCTCAGGATGAGAACAGAAATTGCACGGTGGTGGTGCAGGTTAAGAACAATTTCAGGTTAAAAACCGACCTCTGGAACGAATTAAGTTCATAACCAGAGGTACCACTCTTGCTCCCACAAGAAGCAGTGATGGCCAGAAACCTAGATAGCTTTAAAAGACAAATTCATGGAGGAGAAAAAGGCTGTCAGTGGCTAATAGCCCTGATGGTTTTGTTATACCTCCAGTGCTGGAGCAGTATGCTTCTGAAAACTGCAGGAGTGGGGAGTGCTCTGGCACTCTGGTCTTGTTTATGGGCTTCCCATTGGGGCATTTGGCTGCCTGCTGTAAGAAGATGCTAGACTAGATGGGCCACTGGCCTGATCCAGCTGCCAAGCTCTTCTTAAGCTCTGTGTTCTTCTCTGCCTTCTCTTGCCTGGCTTTAAATGGGTTCTAGGACAAAATAGGGATTGGAGCATAGGAAGCTGTTTTGTCCCAATGGATCCATCTAGCTTAGAATAATCTACTTGGACTGGCAGTAGCTCTCCAAGGTCTCAGGCCAAGTGGGATCTTTCCCGCCACTTGCTCACCTGAACCTTTTTGCTTGAGTTCCCAGGGATTGAACCTGGGACTTTCTGCATACAAAGCAGGTGTACGACCACTGAGCTAGGTGACCATCCCCTTGAAGGGAAGAGATTTGAAAGGCCAGGATGGAGCATCTTAGTCATCTTAGTCGCGGGGGTGGAGGGACCCTGATTTCTAATAGCGATGATGCAATTAGAAGGGAGTTCAGGGAAGGCTGTCCAGAAACTTATTCTTCCTCTCTTTCTAATAAAAATTCCCCAGTGATCCATGCCTGGCAACAGATTGCAAGTATGCCAACAAATTCCACTTCCACTGTCTGTTTGGGAACTGCAAGTACGTGTGCAAAACCTCCGGAAAGGCCGAGTCCCACTGCCTCGACCACATCAACCCCAACAACAACCTCGTGAATGTGCGAGACCAGTTTGCTTATTACTCCCTGCAATGTCTCTGTCCTAACCAGGTAAGGGGGGGGTGAAGGGACAACAGTGGGTGGGGGAGCCAAGGCAGGAGCTTGGAGCCCACTGGTGTCATGCTCTGACTACACCCATTGAAATGAATAAACATGTCTGACTTAGGTCCATTAACTTCAGAAGGTCTACTCTGAGTAAAATTTTGTTGGTTGCATCCCAGAGAAGCAGAATGGGGTCGATGCCCCGCTGCTTTTCCCCGGAAAAACCCATTGTTTACAGCTGAATTAGAATAAACAGCAATCTGCAGAAAACACAATCTACATGGATAAATACGTGCATTTCATAAGGGTCAGAGAGAAAAAATTCTACTGGGAGATTCCTACCACCAGACCTCATGCTAACTTGGTTGGGTTTTGTTCTGAGTCAGGGTTGCTGTTTGTGTTGTATGCTGACCTTGCTTGCCCTCATCTTCTCCTTCCAGCACTGTGAGTTCCGAATGCGAGGGCATTACCACTGTCTTCGCCCTGGCTGCTTTTTTGTGACCAACATCACCACCAAACTCCCCTGGCACGTGAAGAAGCACGAGAAGGCAGAGCGCAGAGCAGCCAACGGCTTCAAGTACTTCACCAAGAGGGAAGAGTGCGGCAGGCTAGGTAAGTCTCTCTCCTCTGGTGTAACACAGTGCTGGGGCAGGATCTTTCACCAGTTGGCAGCAGCAAAAAGTCTGACACTGGATCTAAAACCCACAAGGAAGTGTGCATACAATTGCACTCTGTCACTCTTGGCCATTTCCTCCATAAAGAGTGTTTTTTCCACCAGGTTATCTTCCTCCTCCTTTGATAACGGATTCTGTTCCCTTTCCCCAAGCAGTGGGAAGTTCCCAGCCACCTTTGCAGGATCTGTTTCCTGTAGAGGAAAGAAAGTGGGAAACTAGTGACCTCTCTCTCTAAAAAAAATAAATATGTTTACTTACACATCAGGTTGATTTTTGTAAGGGTGCCGTGGCAAGCATACAGGTCGTTAGTGCCTGGAAAGAGCCCCTTCTTACTAGCCTTTTTATTTTATATCACACCTCAAAATGGTATGATTGTCCCAACATCCCTGTGAGGTAGGGTAGACCAACTGATACTGGGTCAGCCAGTGAATGTCATGGCTGAGTGAGGATTTAAAGGTAGGTTTCCCCACCTCCTTGTCCAGCTCTCCAATTGCTACAACTGCACCATCTCCCTAGCCTTTCACACAACCAGAACTGAGTGCACTTCTATTCCAAGCCAAATCACCTACTTTCTGTGTGGGTAGGCAGACAAACAGGTTTGGAAAACTTCCTTTGATCAGTGGGTCCTGCCCTGAGTAGTTAAGAATGCAAGTGGGGAAGGCAACCCACAGCTGTTTCTAACAGATACAACCCCAGTGGCAACTCCCCAGCAAGGCGAGATGTCTCTGCTCACCCTGGTTGCAGGAGGAGAGTCACGGGGAGCAAACACTTGCTCTGATCACCTTAGAAATTTGAGTGTGACGGAAGAACCCTGAAATCTCCCAGTAGTCCTTTTTGCATGATACCCCTTGGCTTGAGGAGTACATTTTTTGATACTCCTTGCCAGATCTGCCTAGCAAAAGCCAAAGGGTAAATATTTCCCAATGGTGGTAGTGGCAGGGTAAGGGGGAGAATCCTCCCATTCTCTCTTCTGGCATCTACAGTCGCTTCGGCGCTGGAGGCAAGCACATTGCCTCTTTCGATGCCAACCATCCAGGCACATCAAAGCGCCTGATAGGCGGCAGGGTGTGTGGTTGGCAGATCTGCTTGCCAGACTTATTAGGGCCATGCCAAAAACAATTACGAAATTGTAAACACCTCCCCCTCCTTTCCTCCAGCTGCTATGGAAAACAAAAGTGAACCCTCCTGGGCTAAACCCACACATGGTTGGCCCCTTCTGCAGACTATGAGCAGAGGCACCCAACACTCAGCCCCACTGGATCAGCTGCTGAACTGCAACCAGAAGGGGTTGTGCCAATCCCTGGACCATGTCACTACTTGGTTATTTAATAGGGGTGCAACCAGTTCTAAGTTGCTTATTTATCTGCAAAATTTAAGAGCCATCCCATATAGAAACCAGCTTTCTGCCCCCAGTAATCCAAATGACAGGACCAGTTTTTAGGGCACCAGTGATAGCTGGGACCTGGGTTTTGCACCTCTTAGTTTAACTGGTGCTGAGGCCTAGCAGGGTCATAGGTGTGTGTGGAAGTGGTGGAGACCCTTTCCAGAAGGCCTACAATGGGGGTGGCCCTCCAGGTGTTTGTTGCTGGACTCCAGCTCCCATCAGCCCAACCAGCATGGCCAGTGGTCAGGGATGGCTGTATGTGTTGTGTGTGGACACAGGTTCTAAATCCCTATCTGAACAGCCAATAACACCCACCCACCTCAAACCAGCCAACTTGCTGGCTTTGCAGTCAAAGATTCCATGCAGGACTGGCCATGCATATGGCGGCTCCAGTCTCAGAAACAGATTCTGGAGGCTTCTTGTTTGACAGATAGTTTTTTTGTAAGCTTCTTCAGGCAGCCACCTTTCCTCTATGCAGATGGTCCAAGGAGGTGGGGAGATAAATTTGGCTTCTAAGCCATTATTTGTAGGCAGGGGGAGAGTCTCCTTTGGCTTTTGAAACTGGCAGCCCCCTCTTTTCTCCACCAGCTGTACCTGCACCTCTCACCCCAGAGAAGTGTTTAGCCCCATGTTGTCTGGGGCACCATGTATTCGCTGGAGTCCTGGAGAACAAACAAGCCATGGCCTTCTTTGTGTCCCTGGCTGCCTCCCCGCTACCCCCCTGAACACAACTGATTCTATTGATGGGGATAAAAATAGCCAATACACACACACACACACACACACACACACACACACGACAAAACAAAACAGCCAACGTTCAAAGCGAGAGCAGGAGAGAGATCTCTTCCTATTCGGTTGTGGGGTTTTGTGGGTTTTTTACTTCATAAAGAATTCATGTTGGAGAGGCAGCGAGGCCTGTGGTAACCTGGGCAACGGCAAACAACACCGTCAGTCTGCCCCTTACCTGGGTCTTGGCTTACGAATGTCAAGCGGCTTGGCGGTTGCCGCTGTTTGCTCAACCGGTGCTGTTCCAGGGGATGGCTGGGGCCAGACAAAGCCGCCCGATGATACATGACACTCGGCTGCCCCAGCAACGGGCAAGCCTTCACCTGCCTGCGGCCGATACTGTTTCAGTCCTGCCAGCACTGTTTGTTCTTCTTCCTGAAAAGAGAAGAGGGTGGCGGGTTGATAGAGACAGAACAGGGGGGCGCTGGGTGATGGGGGGGAGTTCTACGGGGTGAGAGAATAATATTTAAACAAATACCAAACTTGGCAGAGACATAAAACAGTGCCACTTTCTTAAGAACATACAGTTTGCTTGATTCACTGGCTGAATTTGGCAAGGAGCAGGCGTTGTGGTGGGGGACATTTATGGATGCGCTGAGGAAGAGAAGAGGTTCTTCATGATGTGTGTGGATTTGTGTGCACAATATTGTTGGTGAACATGGACTGTTTGTGATGCTTTTCAAGCATGCAAAGTGATGCACCCAAATATTCCTCAAATAAGGCCAAGAGCCTGCTTCAGTTTGATAGTCATGAGCTTCTGGGCAAGCAGAACAATCTTTTTTTCTAAACAGGTGTTGAACAGACTGAGCTCTGGCACCATCCTCTGAATCATCACTATCACTTGCCTACCGGTCATGCTACCTCTGGGGCTGATGGGAGTTGGAGTCCAACATTACAGCCAGAGGGCCACCCTCATCTAAACCCCCCCAAAGAAAAAAGGAGAAATCAGGGCTGCCATCCCGTTAAAGGAATCTTACCAAGTTATTCAATTAATTGATTAAACTTAAACAAATCTGTTCTGAAACAAACGAAACAAAATGTGTTTCTTTTGCTTTTGTTAATGCACAAAGCATTAACTTAGGAGATGCATATCCTCCTCTGCCAGCTGCAATTTTCATAACTACTTGCATTTAAAAACTGGGCTTCAAAAAATGTTGTCCAATTAATTTGGACACATTTTTAGTCTATCAACATGGTTTTTAATGGATTGATCTAGCCAATTAATAAATTAAATGTTGCAGCCTTACTTAGTTAATTACATAGAAAAATTAGGACACCAAAAGGGCTTCACATACATTATCTCACTCATCTTTCCCCCAGATGTTGCTGGAATACATCTCCCATCCTCTCTGGCCGTTGGCTGTGCTGCTTGCTGGGGCTGATGGGAGTTGGAGTCCCACCACCACCTATGAGGACAAAGGTTCCCCATTATTACTCTAGAGCCATGTAGCCCTTCTCTCTCCTTGTTCGTTTGAGACTTCTCCCACCACCGCCTTTGGCAAAGCAGAAAGGATTCAACCAGCACTCATGCTGAGTGGCCCTAAAAACCTTTTAGGTGACACGAGACCTCCTCCACACTGACCCCCTTGCCAGCCAGGCTTTGTGCCATGTGCACTGATTGGACTAGGTGAGGAAAGTAGGGGAAGGACATCCTTCCATCTTAATCAGATGTGGGGAAACTCTGGCTGCCAGATGTTGCTGGCCTACAGCTCTCACCATCCCTGACCATTAGCCATGCTTGCTGGGACTGTTGGGTGTTGTAAGTTAGTTCAGGCAACATCTGGAGAGTCACAG